CACTCTGAAATTTTCGACAGCTTTTCAAACTTTCAAACTTTCGAACTGCTCGAAATCCTGAGGTTGCTTGAATTATTGAATCTTCAAATTTCCAAATATTCATTTTAACTTGGAGATACTTTGGAGCTGTGACACTTGTTCCAGAATTTTCGTTCATTCAATTTTTATTTTTGCTTTCTGTATTATTTCACACTTCTATTTACATATTTCAGACATTCAATTTTTGCTAGCGAGTCTTTGTTATTCTCTGACCGTCAGAACAAGAGTGACAAGTCAGTAATAGATTATAACTTTGGAAACGAGAAAATATTTTGTCGAGTAAAGTGACTTTGCTTCAAGTTGCAATGCAACTATAATACTCTACAACGCTCTTTGCGATGATCTTGAAATTAGAGATCGTCACGAAACGTTCGACAATATGTAACGTCGAAGGGAAAATGAAAAACATACACGCCACAACTGAAAATTAAATTTAGCTACTTGGTAATGAAAGTATATATTCGAACTGATTGTGAATGCGACGCATTGATGTCATGTATTGTTGAATTAATAGTAAGTCGTATCGTGGCGAACGATTCGTGACAATTTCTGAATTCAAGGCCATCACGAAGACGTGGTATAGTAGTTTGTCTCAGCATCGATTACAATGCTACGAAGTTTCAAAAATATAGTGCTATTTAAAGAAGTGAATGTAACCTTCACCTTTCACTCGACAGAAAATAAATATTGTTTGAAAAGTAGTTTTGAAAGTTGTAATTTATTGCTGACTAAGTATTGATTAACTTTTTGTTTCGAGTATCCTTTCCTCAGATTGGTAGAAGTACTCCAAAAGTAGAGAACTCATCTTGTACAAAGTGAAATTAGTTGAACATAATAAATATTAACTGCCTGTGAGGCACTGTAATAGTAAGCTTGTACGCAAGTTTTAACAAGGGTTTAATAGGGTTTGTAGAGGTTCATAAGGGTGAAACTTAGAGAAAATAATACAAATCAAGAAAATATGTTTTCCAGGAGAAGCTAAAATAATTTGAGTAAACTTAGATATTATTTTATTTTTTTTTTTTTATCAAAAATAAAGCAACTTACGATAATACACTTTTCATCTTATCAACACACACTTGTTGATAATTATATAGTGAGTTGTCCCAATACCTTTCTTCATGCAATTTTTTTACCTGTTTAGAATGCTTTTATATAAAGTTAAATGTCGTGAATTTGTAAGAAATTTTATACTATTTTGAATGATAATAATCAAATTAAAAATATAACAACGATATTATTGTTTTTACTGATATCTTTTTATTTACTTGTGATAGGTGATATATTTTTCTAATGTGGTACAATTTAAAAAATGGGATATGAATGAGCAAGTAACGCATCTGATAATTATCTTTATTTTATAAAAAATGAAATTTATTATTTGTTTGCATAAAATTAAAACCAAAAGTGTTATCAGTAGTTATCAGTCGACATCAATTAGTATTTGCATTAAATTTGTATTTTGTTTTACAACAATCAATTATAATTTATCAATCATTCATTTATATTTTGAGTAAATAAATATTTTTTTAAATCTTACATCTCATACTGAGATGTTTGAGGCAATCCATATCGAAAAAATCATTTTTATTTGAATCTTCAGAAATCATTGTATCAACGAAATGAAAACTAATCACATTTGTAATGATTACACAAAGTTAATTATATTTGGTAGATAATGACGTATATAGAAATAAAGATTGATATGTATAATATCAGTTTAACAATTCCTGTACAAAATCTCGGATTGTGGATTTTTGTTCAATACTCTTTCGCAAATGTGTATTTTTTTTATAATATTTGCATATAAGTAGACGTGCATTTGCATAAATAAACATAACTGATTGATATATTCGCCGTCAAAATTTTTAAATATCTGTGATTTTTCGTACTCTGATCTAAATAAAATTCATGATAAAATAGACAATGGCAGCGTATAAATCAGTATAAAATCAGAAAGTAATTCCCTTCTATATTCGTTCAAATTATAAAGATCGTCATAATTGGTTCAAAATTCACGTTTTCTAACACTAGGACCAACGACTAAATTGTCAAAAATTGTATCAGAGAAATCAGAGCGCAAGCAATGAGGAAAAAAGTTACAGTAAACACAAAATTGTACATTTTTCTCCAAGAATCACTCGAATCTCTAAAAGCGTAACACTGATAGATCTGCTGAACACTACTCACAGAAAATGCTAAATTACTCGTTTCGAGCATTTTTTTTTTGGTCTTCTTCGATTGACCAAGGACATTCGCGACAGTCGACGACGTTTCAGACAGTGGACTCCACTTCCGTCGAGTGTTCGAAACGTATCACTGTGGCTCGCGCGGCAAAAAATCGCAGTTCCCAGGGGTCGCAGTTTTTCAAAGGATCGGTTCACGCTGCCACCGATTACCGACGACGTCCGCGATGCCGGCCAGAAAGTGGCTACATGACTTTCGAAATATCGGCGAACGAACGTTCGTACGGCCGGATGATCTTTGCGTTTAACCACGTAAACAGCGCCTTTGTTGGCCGCCGCGATTTCCATTTACGGATTCGACACGGGCTGTCACGAAAGGCCTCGCCGCTACGCTACTCATTCCGGGGATGCCTTGATGAGGAGCATCCTCCGATTGACATGCACGGAGTAAACGAATGTGTCGAACGACCCCCTTGATCGATCGCCTTCTTCCTCCAGCTTCTTACCACACTGTTTCCATCGTTTTATACAGTCAATTCTCCATTGTTTGCCGCGGTTCTTTTTCTGTTTTTCATTTTCCTTTTCATCCTTTTTCTTTTTCTTTTTCTTTTTTTTTTTTCATTTACCGCGTACTGAACGCGGCCGTGAATCGCGCGTTTCTTTGTTGAACGATAACAGGACCTCGGCAGTTGATTAAATGGTTGGAACAACAACGTCCGTTTCTGTCAGTTTGCTTTCATTTCATGATCCGAGATTGAAAAACATTGCGTCGCTTGTGATTCGTATTGTCTCCGTGATACGTATTTGATTTAATTTAAGTTTTTATTATATTTATATATTATATTTTATATATTATTTATATATTATATTATATTTGTAATATATTTATAACATTTATATTATATCATATTATTTATAGGTATTATATTTAATTATATTAATTTATTATTAATATTATATTAATTATATTAATTAATTATTAATAATATAATATAATAAAAATAATATAATTAATGGTATTATATTAATTATATTATTATTATTATTATATTATATTATATATTTATAGGTGTTATAATTAATTATTAATAATAATATAATATAAAAATAATATAATTAATGGTATTAATTATATTATTATTATTATTATATTATATTATATATTTATAGGTATTATATTTAATTTTGATTATTTAATTATTATATTTACTACATTATATTCATATTTAATTTAAATTATTGTTGTATTGAATTTTATAATCTGAATTTTTTCACGTATTTGTGGGGAAGTTAACAACGTAAAACTGCACGTATGTAATATGCAGAGATATACAGAATGTTTCGAAGCAGTATTGAACGCAGCGTAGTGCAAATTAATTTCTTTATTAACACGTTGACTGTCATACGAATTTCATATATTTCACGACTTTAAGGGTCGTGATATTGTATCGGAAAATTTAACTTACTCGAGTATCTTTTATTTTGTTTAAGCTATTCGCGTCGTTCACATTAAAAACATTTTAATTTATGTAGTTTACCTTGTCTTTAATTATTTTAAAAAGCAACGTCCATCACCGATAATTACCGTAGCAGTCACGTTTTAAAATGACCTAAATGGAGATTCGTTTCACCTACTGAATATTGTAATACACACAAATATTGTATAACAAATATTACAATACGCGATTTATTTTGGAAATATTGGCAGACCTGATTTTCTTTTTGTGAAAACAAATGGTAAATTAACAAAATTTATTTCCATAAATAGTTTACTATTTGAAAAAACAATGCGCACAATAGCAATTACCAATAATGACAAAAATGGTAAAAATGGTAGAAACTCGAGGATCAAACGAGAAGTTTTTTTCCAGCTCTAGCACATATTTGAAATGTAAAATATTTGCAGTTGTTTAAAGACAAGCGTCATTTCCTAATGATAATGGCACGATATCGATTCAATAGCATTCCAATACTCACGAAAGGATATTTTGCAATTTTTCCAACAACATTCCGCCATTAAATACAGATCAAGCTTTGGGATTACAAATTTAACTCTCGAATTTTTATGTTTCTTGTATCATTATCGCAAGTATAATTCATTACTGGATATTGCTACTGTGCAACCGTCTGAAACAGATTTTGCCAACGTGTCATAAACGATATCGTCGAAAAACTAGGTGTGCGAATATTTTTTGTCACGAATTTCTCCGCGTCTTCCAAAAAACTGCACAGAAATCCACGGTCTAGTTATGACAGGCGAAACGAGTCGCTGCTCAGCTCCTGTTTCTCTCGAGTCGCGTTCAGAAAAACCGCGAATTTGCATAAATATCCGCAATGTCCGGTGATTACGGTATTACACAAATAACACGTCGGTCTATCAAGATATTCGTTCGCTCGTTGCCGTAGAATCTTTCGTAGCAACGATCCTCTAATTGTTCCCGGGCAGCGTATCATCACGCGAAGCAGCTTATTATTAATCAATTTACATTCAGTGGCAAACCTATTTAGCATCGTACGTACGATCCTCAAAGAAGAATACTGTTATTCACCGTCGTGTAGTCAAACGATATCGTTTACCTACTTTTCTTACTATTTGAAAAAACAATGCGCAATTATCAATAATGACGAAAATGGTAAAAATGGTAGAAGCTCGAGGATCAAACGACAGAGTTTTTTCGAACGAGGAAGACTCCGTCCTCATTTTATTCGTCGTTCAGAAAAAAAACATCGGTCAACGAGCTAGTTCGCTAATTGTTTCGCGAGCGATCGTCCTACCTTCTGTTCTGGTACCACGTCTTCACTTGCGTGTCGGTCAGCTGCAGCTTCGCCGCCAGCTCCATCCTGTCTTGCACGCTCAGGTACTTCTGCCGCTCGAAACTCTTCTCCAGTGTTTGCAGCTGATGATCCGTGAAAGCCGTGCGCGCCTTTCGCTGTTTCTTGCTCTGCGCGGAGCTGAGCGTGCTGGACGAGGAACTCTTCGGATCGTCCTCCTTGCCACCTGAAATCCCGGACAGTGTTAAGTTTTCGCTGCGAGTCGAATCGCGGTACGTTGTTTCATTTATTAGCCACGGATATTGTTCTCTATTTTATTCAGTGAAAGGAGTATATCTCAGCTGGGAGGGAGGGCGTATCGTTTCCTGCGTCGTCGATTTCTTGCACTCCGAGGGGGGGGGATCGTCTCGCTGGTTAGGATGAAAACAAGGAGAGGGCATGTAAATGGTATAACTGTAAAAAAAAAATTATCAAAATTGCACGTCTAGTGATATTTGAAAAATTTTAATTTTAATATTGATTAATTAAAATATTAATGGCATAACTATAAAAAAAATTATCAAAATTAATATAATATTTATTAAAATGTTATTAATATTAATTTTAATATCTATTAATTAAAATATTAATGGCATAACTATAAAAAAAATTATCAAAAGTTTAATAATATTTGAAAAATTTTAATTTTAATATTTGTTAATTAAAATATTAATGGCATAACTATAAAAAAAATTATCAAAATTAATTTAATATTTATTAAAATATTATCAATATTAATTTTAATATTTATTAATTAAAATATTAATGGCATAACTATAAAAAAAATTATCAAAAATGCACGTCTAGTAATAATTGAAAAATATTAACTTTAATATTAATTAATTAAAATATTAATGGCATAACTATAAAAAGAATTATCAAAAGTGCACGTCTAGTAATATTTGAAAAATATTAATTTTAATATTGATTAATTAAAATATTAATGGCATAACTATAAAAAGAATTATCAAAAGTGCACGACTAGTAACATTTGAAAAATATTAACTTTAATATTTATTAATTAAAATATTAATGGCATAACTATAAAAATTATCAAAAGTGCACGTCTAGTAATAATTGAATTATAAATTTGATCATTATTAATTCTATTCGAATTAATGTTCCGGATCATAATGCAAAGATTATATATAAAATACCGATATTTTTATGATTTGTTGATATTAATGCTATATTAATGCTTCTGTTCGAATTAATATTCCGGATCATAATGCTGAGATCATATATAAAATGCCGATATTTTTATGATTTGTTGATATTAATGCTATGAAACGATAGTTTCGATAGTTCCGTGTGTGTTATTTATTGATTTTATTCTTACATAACGTTTTTTAGTGTCTAATCATATAAAAGTACTTTTGTTTCGTACGAAGTTGCTTCTCATTTCGATTCGAAGTCGGAGCAAAAAATTCGCGACGATTACACGAACGACAATGCGAAATAACAATTTGAAGATAATGAGACATTTCCGGTTCAGAATCGAGCAAACGGAATAATTCACGTGTTATTCCCAGAAGTTGCTGCCCAGCTGCAAAATGACGATTAAAAACATCGTTTCTCACAATTTAACCATGCGATCATTCAGACGTCTCGTTTCGAAATCTAGTTTATCGTAAACTTCTTCAAGTTAATTAGTAATCCCTAATAAACAGCGAGTTTACGAACTCTTCGGAGAAATCGTCGAATCGAGCACATACGCAAAAGATCTTGCGATTTAAACCTGACGAGCCCAACTAATTACACGTGATGATCGAAGATGAGTCCATATCGCGGAAGAGTTAAACGCCGAGATGATATACGATTGTCGAAGGGCGAAGAGAGACGTTGTCAAGTCGGAGTCCGAAGAGAGTCGCTTTATTAGAAGCTTCCCGTAGGGGAAGTAATCGATGCGGTGGCGCGCTCCGTATATACGTAGCTGGCCGTTTTTGCTGGTCCCCTGCATGGCGATCACGGCCGCCTCTCCTCTCTATCGGCAGAGATCCTTTTGTTCTCCGTTCGAGTCCGCGCAGCCGTGAGCCGATTGGCTGGTATCGCGGATTGGACCACGCAGCCGCGTCGAGACGCCGCAAATTATCCCCCCGGTTCGCCAGCACCCACGGAGAGGGTGGGATTCCCCGAGGAAACCGATTACACCCGATACTCTCGTCGGCAAGTTGCGCTTCTCCACGCATACACACACACACGAACACACACACACACACGCTCGCGCGCTCGTTTCCCGGATCAAATCTGACGCCAGCCACGCAACATCCCCGTCTCTCTCTCTCTCTCTCTCTTTCTCCCCACTCGATTCATCTCTCCCTCGAATCTCGTTAACGCTGCTCCTTTATTTTTCTCATCGTCCGAGAGACGGCAATTTCCCTCTCTCGATTTTCTGCGGGGAAACCCGGCCCGAGAGAAACGCGAGAAATCCGAATCACGATGCTCGACGAACGCGATTGGAAATTGATTCGTTCGGAATCGTGGATGAAAGACAGGATATCGTTGCCCGGTAAACTCGCAGGATCCATCCTGTTCGAAGTCAAGTTCGATGGAAATCCCGCGAGGGCTGCATCCCCCACGGGGGAGGACACTCTGCGGGCTTCGGAAAAGTATTTGAAGGACCCGTTGTCGCGAGCTCATCGATTGGAACGGTCGTGGGTGGCGCGGAAGAAACACGACTGACGGGAGGGGCAGGGTGGAGAGACGAAAAGGAGAAAGAGGGGTGGGCAGAAGTGCAGGCGCGAGAAGGACAAGAAGAAGAAGGGGCGGGGGTGGTTGGGATGGAATCGGGATGGTAGAGAGAAGTAGCGGATTGAGTTAACTCGAACGAAAGCGTGGCTCTTAGCCTCCGTTTGATCGGCCAGATTCGCTCGAACGGATCCGGGACTGTCGAGGTCCGCCATGTTGGGAAAGATGGCTGACGATCTCTCAGGAGGGAAGCTCGCTGAGGAGGAATTTCATCGCAGTGACTCGTGCAGCCTCGAGGTTGAAGGAGAGAGAGAGAGAGAGAGAGAGAGAGAAGAGACGGTAAAACGGAGGTTGGAAAACTAAATTTACTATGTGATACAGTTAGAGCTCCGGGTCTCAACCAACGCGGTTCTCTTTTTTTAGACACTTCCGGAGATGTTGCAACTTTTCCACCTCCCTTCCCTCCCCCTCTTGGCTGCAAGGAGCTTGAAGTAACTGGAGAACTATCGCGAAAACACGCAGCTCGTCCTCTCTTTCGTCTCCTCTCATATCCCCTTCGTCTGTAAAAATACTCTTTCCACGTTTCTTCCGCCGCTTACTCCCACAGCAACCACCTAGCTTTGGAAGCTTCGAGCGTGTGCGCCCGTTCAGCCTTGTTCGCCGCTTTGTACGTTTCACTTTGGCCCCGAAAACGGGTAATGGGAGCCGATGCTCTCGAAGGGGATTCGTAAAAACGGGATACTCGGCGATCCTCGATCGATCGAGGCGAACGTAAACGAGCAACGTCGTCGTCCGATCGCGGACGTTGAAAGATGTCTCTCTCTCTCGCGGCTCTTTTTATTTCTCTTTCTTCTTCTCCTCTGATCAACCGTCGGTTTAATTCGATGAGAAATGAAGGGATACTCCTTCTTGCCCGCGAGTTATACGCCGGGGCCATTCTCCGGGGCACTCATTTTTCTTCGTTTCCCCGGTGACAGTATTCTTTTGACTTTTCCGCCAACTCTCTTTCCGCTGTTACAAGATGCTCCGAGTTTTGATCCACTTTTTTCCTCCGGCGCGCCGTCTTCTTCCTCGCGACTTCTCAACAAACACCATATATCTTGTCTCGCCTCTCCATAAACTTTATTGTTCTGCTCGTTGAAGTTTGAGACCAGAGCTGTCGGAAAAAAATAAAAAACAACTCTCCGGATTGTTTCGTGATATATTTCCCATAGACTTCGAAGTCGATCGATCAGGTTGTCGGGAAGAAACACAACCAGAAAAAGACCAGAGGCTTTGGCTCGCAACGCGACAAAGATTGTCCCTCGTTCGAATTCCGCTTGCACGAGCAATCACGTCGCCACATTGACATAAAAAAAAAAAGAAAAACGTACCGGATACGCGGGCGTGTACGCGCAAATGGAAATTGTCGTGCTTCGCGCGCGGAAAGAAGAGAGAGAGAGAGAGAGAGAGAGAGGGAGAAACGAGGCCCTCGCGTGCTACAATGTTGTACGGGGGAACGTAAAAGTGAGATTAACAGGATGTTTATCGAGCAATTATTCGCTGGGGCAATTAGTGCCAGCACGGCTGCGTCCACATCAGCAACCGGGTATCGTCTTCGGTCAAGTCCACGCGAAAACGTTGCCTTCCCCGTTTTACGACGAAACGCGACACCTGCAGGATGTACAGACGATTACGGCGGAACGAACATACCCGGACGAGTGATTACGTCGTACCTTGGCTGAGCAACCACGCGTGTTCTTCACCGATCTGTTGAATCAATCTGCCGCGAGGATTTTTGATAATAAGTGAAATTCTGCGACTAGAGATTTTTCGTTGTTCTTGACGCCGATGGTTATTTTGTTGGATTATATTAATTTACGGCGATTGAAAATTGTTACGTGGGTATTTATATTGTAGCACTACGGGTGATCAAACTGTGAAATTTATATCAGATAAATTAAAAAGAATGGAGGTGGATTTGTCATGGGGAAGTAAGTTGAAGAAGAGGAACAAAATTTTGTCGTCAGAGCCTTCGTTTTTTGAGAAGATCGAGTCTGAGAATTGAGTATATTTGAATTTAGTTTAGAATTAAGTCTAAAAAATTATTCTACGCGCAATAATAAACAAGAAACGAAGAATGAAATTTTTTTGTAAGATGATTCACCTTCGAGAAAGTCGAGTTTGAAAATTTATCAAGTAGTGTATTAGGGCAATTCAAGGTCTGTTTCTTTGAGAATCTTATTCTACATTTTTCACTTATCTTTGTACATGGAATATCCGTGTGTTGATTGTTCGTGCTTGTCCAGTTACGAAATTTAATTATACTCGACTTTGAGCGAAAACAATTTTGCTCTTTCTTTTCGATTTATTTTCACGTGTACATTCATTTTCAGCATGTACCACTAGACATTATTTGACGAAGAATCATTTAAATCTCCAAAAATGCACCGTTGTGAATCTGTCAGATTTCTCTGAGAAACTAAGAATCACTCACTTTGACTACTTCGATAGTTATGT